AACGTGAGTAATTTTTGTCTGATTTTGATAAAATTTGGCATGAAAGTGTAAGGCGCGATACACCTTAATGAGTTCGCAAACCAGCATGATCAGACCATGGGAACCCAGGGTTTTATGGGATGAAAATATTTTTTTTCTCAATTTTAACCCCTATAACATAAATCTTTATAAAAATTTAGGTTCCTGCAAGATTTTTGTTTTATTTTGAACAACAGAAACCTAAAAAAAACTTTTATCAAATATACTTTGAGAGTAATGAAATTGTTCGGAATTTAATAACGAATTCCAATATAACATTCTTTTAGTTAACATGTAAACAATTAACTTGCTAATGAGGTAATACTGGCATGATGTCGACTTAGACCTGCCCCCTGGCAGGACTAAAGTTGGGGACTAAACTCACTAATTTCTATGACGAAAATATATCTCTTAGTCCCGAATTTGGTCTCCCAAACCCACCGAGACTACCGTATCTCTTAGGCTGGCGCCTAAGTCTACTTGACTACCAAACCAACAATATTTAGGCGCGAGATTATCCCTGCACAAGTTAGGCGCGCGCCTAACTGATCCCGAGCTCACAAACCCGTTTTCGAGGGGGCAGCTTAAAATACCAGAAATATCCGGATTTAGTCGCGGACTAGCGCTAATACTGAGCTCCCAAACCGCTTCCTGGAGTATATATTTAAGGTTGACTTAGAAATAGAGAATCGGGGTAACAAACCTACTTTTATCAATAGGATAAGACAGGAAGTCCTAGATTTAACACTATCAATCAACCTCAAGAACCATGAAATTAGAGGATGGCATGTCTCTGAGGAGGCCTCGCTGTCGGACCACACACACATTCGGTTCGAAGTAGAGGCTAACCTGGAGAGGTGTTTATCCTACAGAGTCCCCAAACAAACCAATTGGAAGGGATATAGAGAATTCCTGCAAATGGAGCTGGAAGGAACAATGGTACATACCAGAACAGTAGAAAGCTTGGAAGAGTTAGCAGAGTCTGTTGAAACCGCAATACAAAAAGCCTTTGAAGAAAACTGCCCCCTCAGATCCAAAAGGGTGTCAAGAGACGTACCCTGGTGGAATGAGAAGCTGAGCAGAATGAGATTAAAACTCAGGAAACTCTTCAATGTCATACGGAGGACAGGCGACCGTGACGCCTACCCTAGGGCCTTGACGGAGTACAATCTGGAAATCAAAAAGTCCAAAAGAAGGACTTGGAGGCTTTTCTGTGAAAGGCTGTCCAGCCTACCAGAAACGGCCAGACTCCAGAAAGTACTACAAAGTGAACAATCCAACCCTTTGGGCGCAGTAATGGCTGAAAATGGCCATCTCACGACCAACATGGGCGACACCCTAAAGGAGATGCTAAGAGTACACTTCCTGGAGAGCTGTCCCATAGGGGAAGGAGCCAATTGGCCCCGCCCAGGGAAGTCCCCTAGGGAAGTGGCGATAGCCAGAAGGATGTCGGGAAAGATATTCAAACCAGAGGTTATGAAATGGGCAGTAAACTCATTCTGCCCTTTCAAATCTCCTGGGAGAGATGACATATTCCCTGCTCTCTTGCAAGAAGGCATGGAGGTCCTAGTGGATCTCCTTGTTGCATTGTATAAGGGCAGTTATGCACTGGGATATATCCCAACTACATGGAGAAGAGCTAGAGTGGTGTTCCTACCAAAGAAAGGAAAAGAACCAACTCAGCCTAAATCCTACAGACCAATATGTCTAACCTCATTCATGGTAAAGGCTATGGAGAAGATCATTAACAGGCATATGAGGGATGAGATTCTCATGAACTCAAGCCTAAATGTGAACCAACATGCCTTTATGATGGGCAAATCGACTACGCTTTATAGCCTGGTAGTGAAAATTGAAGACACATTAGATCACAAGGAAATCCTAGCAGGAGTCTTCATGGATATCCAAGGAGCCTTTGATAATGTGACCTATCAGTCAATAGAGGAAGCACTGATAGACAGAGAAATTCCTCAAGAAATAGTGTGTTGGATAATGGCTCTGCTCCAATGCAGAGAATTATCAGCCAAGGTCGGAAACTCGTCGGTTACAATCGAGGCCAGAAGAGGGTGTCCGCAGGGAGGAGTTTTATCTCCCCCTACTAAGGTCACTTGTGGTTGACGGCTTGCTGAGAGAAGCTGATGCAGATGATCTAGTGCTGACTGTGAGAGGGAAACACAAAGGTACCATTGAGGACCTTACCCAGCAGGCGGTAGATATCATCGACAATTGGTGTAACAAAAAGGGTTTGACAATCAACCCCACAAAAACTGAAATACCGGTAGTGACCTTCACTATTTCACTATTTATTTTGGGGAGAACCAAAATCTCCCCACCCCAAATTAGGGGAGTGAGGGTCAAGTCAGTCAAGGAGACTAAATATTTGGGTGTATACTTAGATCAGAAGTTGACTTGCAACAGGCACATAGATCATGTCATTGCCAAGGGAACAGAAGCCATGGGCGCCTGCAGAAGAACATTTGGCAAAAAATGGGAACTCAACCCTAGACTGATCTGGTGGATATATGAAACCATAGTAAAGCCTATGGTGGAATACGCAGCCCTGGTGTGGTGGCAGAAGGCAGAGCAAACTGGGGCAGCTGCAATGCTGCAACAACTGCGAAGACTTGCCTGCACAGGGGTATGTGGCGCAATAAGATCATGCCCGACAGTGGTAATGGAGTCAATTTTAGGCGCACTCCCACTCGGGCTGGATATAAAGAAAAGGGCAGCATTAACAGCCCTGAAGACTTGCAGTAAAGGAGAAATATCTTCTTCGAGAAGGACAGGTCACATGTCAATTCTAAGGGAACTCCCAAGTTTAGACATGGAGATGACGGTTTCAGATCTTATGATTAGGAAGTACGACTTTGATAAACCCTACCAAGTGGCCATAGGAGACAGAGGAGAATGGCAGAAGGTAAGGTATAAAACAGGAAAGTCGGCGATGGTGTTTTACACAGACGGATCGCGGAGGGAGGGCAGGTCAGGACTTGGAGTGTATGGGATTGGAACCCACCTCTCAAAGGCCCTCGGCGTCACACCGACTGTCTTCCAGGCGGAAGTCATGGCGATAGAGCATTGTGCAAGACTGCAGCAGCTGCATAAAGGCCTGAAGCGGTGCTTATCCTCTCAGACAGCCAAGCTGCTCTCAAAGCAATTGGCGCCTGCGTGGTGGAATCTAAAGTTGGGCAGAGCTGCAGGAACACCCTCTAGGCCCTTAGCGAACACAACAGAGTCCAACTTGCATGGATCCCAGGTCACGCTAGGCACGAAGGCAACGAAAGGGCTGACGTCCTGGCGGGTGAGGGAGGGGGAAAATTCTGAACTCGTTGGGCTTGAACCATGCTGCGGAGTCCCAGTGAGCAAAGGCCAATCAAAAATCCTAGCCTGGGCAAAGGGACAAAAAGAAAAGGTTTGGGAAAATACCCCAGGCCTAAGACAATCAAAGGTGCTTATCAATCCTCTTAGTAAGGAATGGAGAATTATCTTCGACCTCCAAAAAGGGGGAATAAGCCTTTTGATAGGTCTACTTACAGGGCATGACTATGTAAGGAAGTACCTCAAGACAATAGGGCTTAGACAGACAGACCAGTGAAGATTCTGCGTCTACGACACAGATTCCGCTGAGCACATATGGCTGGAATTTCCGGCGATAGCCCAGAAGAGTATAAACGTGTAAACCTACATTTATTCAAACGAGTTCGCGAACCAGCATGATCGGACTATGGGAACGGGGGTTTATGGGGGGTTTTATGGGGTAAAAATAGGTTTTTCTCATTTTTGACTGTAAAAACACAATATTTCACAATTTCTTTCAAACCTATTTTGAAGAGCTTAAAAAACAAATAATTTAGTATATTGAAGCGTTATTGTGCGCCTAATGGTTACGGACAAAATTCAAAAAAATTTTAAATTTAAAATTCCCATGTTATTCTGATAGAGAATAAATCAACTATTGTAGTTTGCTTGTTAATGAACATATTTTGATCAAATTTGGAAAATACATTAATTTTTTACTAAACTATTGACATTTTACAACAAAAAACACTTTTTTACCCTCCCTATTGCAGCAAACCTAAGTACTCGTTAAACTAATTCTATTTAAATGGGGAATAAATGTGATATAGGTAGCCTATTAAAGGAGGCATTTTAGTGTAGCCTAAATCCAATCAGGCAAATGGAAATTAGCTTAGTCTGCAGGTTTGCTGCGGCGGGGGTACTGTTGTTATAATGTTAATAATGTCATAGCGACCAATAAACTCATAAGGCCCGTGTTAAATTTCCAAAACTTCGCTTCAGCAGTTCATGAGCTTCGCTCGCTCCGCTTCGTAAAAATTAAGATTACAAATAATACTTAGCCTATTGCACTACATACCAACCGACATTGTAAGTGAATAAAATGCTTAAGTACCACTTAAACTATATGTTCAATAACAAAAAGTTCTGTATTACCAGTTGCAGGCTAAGTTTATGTGTAGTGGGATGTAGGTGTTATCCTTAAAACCTCCCCAGGTTAGTCGTTATAATACAATGATTTTTGCCACCCTCCCTACTTACCAACAAAAAATATACAGGGTAAGTAAAACACACCATACATACAATAGAAACACTTTGTTTAATAAATAGCCTACACCTTTTTAACAAAACTATCAACTTTTTAAATTGTAAAAATTTTAAACCTTAAAAAATAACATCTTAAGAAGAATAGAGTTTACGATGGTATTGTTTTAAAGTGCAAAGTGCCTGTCCAAACCTGTTGTTTTACACTACACACCTACCTTCTTCAAGTGATGAAAACTATAAAGATAAAATTAGAAAAAACTAGACTTTTTAATACCACACTTCTATTTCAACAACTCATATAAAACTATTATGACAACAACAAAACAAAACCATATGACAATTTAAATTAGTCAAAAGTAAATATGCATCAAATCACAGACTAGGAGATATAACATCCTCCCACCGAGTAGTATTACTACTCAAACATGAACCTTTTTTGAACTTTGATTTTTAGTCCAGCTTGTGAGACGTGCTCCCACCGTGGCGGCTAATAATTCCAACCTTGGAATCGTAGTTTTATTCAGAGGAGCAACTCTTGATTTTGCAGACAATAATTGGACTCTTACTTCATCTTCAATTTCAACTCTCAAGTAAATAACTGTAGCATAGGCATCTTTACTTGCGTCGCAAAATGTATGAATACTACAACCATTTGAATCCATAGTCATTTTACCTATCCATCGGGGTATTTTCACTTTTTCAAGAGCGCTTAACTCATTATACCACAGTATGAATCGTTTACTGATGTCTGAACTTACTTCAGTGTCCCAGTCAATTTTCAAGTCCCACATACTTTGCAGAAGAAGTTTAGGAAACAAAGTAACAGGGCAAAGGATACCAATTGGATCAAAGATCTTGTGAGATATGGATAAAATGTCTCTCTTTGTGATTCGAGACACGTCCAAATCTTTAATACAGTTCGTCAGGTTAAAAAACAGAACGTCCTCAATATAGTTCCATTGAACTCCCAAAACATTAGTGACGAACTTGTTATCTCCTTCTTCAATGACGCTCGTGGCATGCCATCCTCTTAAATCAAACTTAGCGGCAGCCATAACTTGTTTCGATTCTTCAACAAAGTGTTTTAGTTCCTCATAAGTATCTACACTGGTCGAAACATTGTCCACGTAAAAACTTTTACTCAGCTTCTTTACCACATTATCATCATACTCCTGAGAAGTCATAGATTTTTGAAGATGTAGATCAATTACTGCCCCTAGAAGAAATGGACTACATTTCACTCCAAAAACAACTCTTTTATGGCGGTAAACAATAGTTCGGCTTCTTTCATTGATGTCAAACCATAAAAACCGAAGAAAATCTCTATCTTGTACATTTAACGATATCTGTAAGAAGGCTTTTGCTATGTCAGCAATAACTCCAAACTTCCCTTCCCTAAAACGCATCATAACAGAAGGAATCAGTTCAATTAAATTTGGTCCATTTTCAATACAGTCGTTCAATGAGGGTGAAAACTTGGTCTTTGCTGATGCATCAAACACTGGACGAATTCGTGTGGTAATACTACTCTCCTTCACTACAGGTCTATGTGGCAGGTAGTGAAAGTTGTTGTTCAAATCGTCAGAAGGTACAGCTTCAATGATGCCATCACTTAACCACTGTTTAAAAACTGAGTCATAGTCTTCGGTTAAATTGTTACCATCCAATTTCTTTACAACTGTTGATAACCTCTTTTCGGCTAACTCTCTGTTACTAGGCAAAGTAGGATGACAATCAACCCAGGGCAAACTTACTTCATATCGACCTTCTTCATTTATAGTGGTAGTCTTTATAAAATGCTCTTTAACTGCCAAAGCCTTTTGCTCTTTGGAAACTGATTCACTTGTATCAGTAATGCCTATAGTGTCTAATCTCCACAGTTCTGATATGTCAGCATCATTAATAAACATTGATGTTACAACAGTGGAGAGTGTAGTTGAACCTGTACTACCACTAATTATAGCCTTACCCATCAGTGTCCATCCCAGAAGAGTTTCCATAGCCACTAGTCCAGATTTCAGTTCAATCATATTTCCCGTGAATAGTTTACCCGCTATATCCGCTCCAATCAAAATACCAATTGGTAGCTCGGTCTCATGTATGTCAGTCAGAGAAACATTTTTCTCTAAAAGTTCCTGTATCCAGGGACCTTCGGTAACAGGTGAAATTTCCCCACATATGGTAGTTTGACTCAATACCTCAAAGTTGCAGTTGTAACTGTAATCTTGACTGGTTAGAAACACACGATGTCTGTTATGAATTACTTCACCAGATTTGACATTACCAAAAAGAGAGTGTATGATTGTTTCTTCTCCTAAGCTTTCGTAATTCATTTTTCCAGCCAAGTCCTTTAAAATGTAAGAACGCTGTGAACCAGAATCAAAAAGAATGCGAACAGTCTCAAATTGATTACTACCTGGGGTTCTTAATCTTGCCTTTACTGTTTGCAGAAACACTTTCACTCTGCTACTTGATTTATTGGCCAAAGCGGTATCTTCGACTACTGTCATTTCTTTAGATACCTCATCAACACATTTGCTTACACACTCATTCACTACTTCTTTGGAATGAATACTAGGACACATTATAGGATAATGTTTCCTTTTACAATTAGAACATGACAAATGAGCTCTACAATTCTTAATACGGTGACCAGGCTGCAAGCAAAGGAAACAGCACCTCTTTTCCTTTAAAGTGGACACCTTATGAGACAATGGCAATTTCTGAGCAGCAAAACAGTTACTACTCTTATGATTCTTATCACAAAAGACACACTTTGTATAAGAGTTTTGAGTTTTACCAGAGGACATGAGGCATGAAGCTGTTGGTATGTCTATCTTACCTGGTTGAGTTTGAGGTGACCTTTTAAAAGATTTCTCCTTCCCAGAGCTACTTATCCCAAAACCTGCCATGGCTAGACCGATTCTCTGTTCCCCTTCAACTTCAGACAACATAAACTTCATTAAATTGTTGAGTCTTTCCTGAGGGTCTGTACCTACTTTCAAAGGGCTTCTTTGCCGGGCCCTTAAGAGATCTTCAGGCATACAACTTTCAACTAACGGGTATAACATGGAGGAACATTTATCTGTTGTAACTCCCAAGGTATCTAATGCACGCATATGAGACTCAAGTTTGTCATATAAACTTTGTAAGTTCATTGTGTTTTTGCCTCCTAGAGCATTTTGTAAAACAATTTTCAAGAGTTCCCTGACATAAACCTCTACCAATAGGTCATCTTTACCAAGTCTGGCTTTCAAACATTCAATTGCTTTTGGATAGTTTGCACCAGTTGGAGGAAAACTCTGAACTACATCAAAAGCTCTTGATCCGGTAACTATGGATTGCAATAAATATTGAAACTTATCTTCTGAATCAATGTCTGAGTCACTATGAATTTTGCTAAACTGACTCCAAAAAGGTAGCCAATTGATCAAATCTCCATCAAACTTTTTGATCTCTATTTTAGGGAGCTTAAATTTCTTCTTACTAGCATTGTTACAGCAAGATCCAGAATGAGCACTAACTACACCGTTACTTTGTTGTAGTAAATTCTGGACTCTTAATTTTACAGCTTCAAACAAAGCTAAATATTCTCCAGCTTTGATTGTTTCAGCTAACAGCTCATCTTCAGAAACATTATCATTATTCAATAACAAATCAAAGATCTGAGAATTCAAAACCTGAAGTTCATCAACCTTTATCTCCAAAAGCTTTAGAGTGGTTTGAATTTCAATTTTGTCTGTGGTTTCATTTTCAACTAAACTGTTCAGTTTGTTCAATGTTTTAGAAAAATAAGCCCTATATACTGTTCTATTTTTCTTTAGATTTTCCATCATAGAGATAGGTGAAAAACAATATCCTGTCACGGTCGCCAAATGTTGTTTTACACTACACACCTACCTTCTTCAAGTGATGAAAACTATAAAGATAAAATTAGAAAAAACTAGACTTTTTAATACCACACTTCTATTTCAACAACTCATATAAAACTATTATGACAACAACAAAACAAAACCATATGACAATTTAAATTAGTCAAAAGTAAATATGCATCAAATCACAGACTAGGAGATATAACACCTGTCTAATGTAATGTGTAGTTTTATTGAAAGCCTATTAACTGAAGAACCTCATATTATGCCTTTTTGAAAGGGTACCCCTAAGTTAAGAGTGCTTGGTAAATTTACCAGTTTCTAGTTGATTTTGTCGAACTACAGGTGATTTTACCGAGCCTTTTCTGTAAACTACTTTTTTGTCTAGACAGTGACAAGAAACCAGCTGTTTACTGCACAGCGTGGCAAAAACAATTTCTCCTTAGATCCATCAGGCATAGGCCCTCCACAGAAAGAAACCGATAATAATTATTTTTATTTTACTGATCATTCATGGGATTCTTGAGAAAGAGGGTAGCCTAAGTAGGTACAGTTGGATTTTTTTAGCTAAAAGCGGTGGAATATCTTTGAAGACTAGGTGAAACCCGTCAAAATCGATGGTTGCTTTAAAGGCTTACAACAATTCTTCTAACTGCGACAAAAAGAGTGAAATTACAAAAAATGTGAGCATTTAGCATTGTTTAACGAGTAATAAATAGGTGTAGAAACAACAATGAGTATTGCGTTACAAAAATATGGTTGATCATTCAATGAATAACATATTTCTTATACCATCTGTCAAAGGAGTTATTTCCTATGTCAACTGGTTTATCTTCTTTTTGATGAAAATAATATATGAAGAATGCTTTTGGAGGAACCTTTAAATAGTATTAAAATCATATTGGTAGATCTTTTGTGGTAAACACTTCCATGATTTCATCAGTGTTATGCAGATTAAATCTATGTTTTTTTTAGAAAAATATCTGTTTGTTGAGAGGGCACGTTCTTAATTCAAAGGGAGGCCCACCCTAAAGCTGTGAAAGTTTTATTTTTCCTTCACCACGTCGGTCATCATACCGTACTTCTGTGCCTATGAATAGGCCTAACCCTCTAAATTTATCAATAATAATTTTTTTAGCATAACATTGATTCCATGACATGCGGATGTCAGTTGTTTCAGCCTTATCAATTACATTAAGTGTTCAATATAATATATCTTCGGTATCTTAGGCGTAGTGGATTATACTTGTTGTGAAGCTGGCTTTTATTCTTGAAATGAGGGACCTCGTTCAGGTCATGGGCGACAAATAATGCAAATGACAAAGCAATGCTGCATTTCCATAAAGCAAATACTGTAAAACGTTTACATGCATTGTTGTTAATCAACGTATCTTAGAAAGGATGAGGAATTCTAGTTCAAAAGAAACACAACCTTTCTGTCATGACAGTAACGGCTAAAATGGTAATTACTCTTTGTGAAATTTGTTTTACAGTCAAAGTGTAGTGTTGTTTTCACAAATTTCACTTAAGGCCAACCAAGTAGGCCACGGTCCGTAATAGGCCACTGCAATACGTCTGTCAAGATTTGGTACTATTTTAGGCAAGGTTTCTGTGTTTGGATGTTATTACAAATCTAAGCCGAATTAATAAATGTCACAATCCAAGCGCATTAAAATGGCTCTGGCCTGAACTTTTTTGTAGTATCGAGTTTGGGCATTTCGATTACGTTACCATCTGGAGAGTTACATAGAGAGTTAAATAGTTACCGGTGCACTTTGAGAAATTTCTTTTACAGATAAATTAAATGGTTTTTGTTACTGAGTAGCGCCATAAGTAGATTGAACATAGGCCTATTCCCATATCACACACACACAACACCGACGGTCCCGGCGCAGGTAGTAGACACATGCCTGCGCCGGAACCGTCTGTGTCGTGTGCGTGTGACAGGCCTATCAATGTCAATTAAATGTTTACTTTTTGTAATTAAATGTTCGTATTCGTGTATTTATTGTGTGCATGTGGCATCGAAGTCTTCGTTTTTGTAACCCTGACTATGCCGCATTTACGGCGAAACATGTAGGTTGTTAACCTAAATCAACATTTGGATTATTTGACAAGGTATTGAACCATAATATTATAGTAGGCCACCTATTTTATTCTTAAATGAATTATATTTTGCCGTTTAGAAATTACAGAATAAAATGCTGTTGTTCTGACATAACCTAACCAAACCCAGCCTCTGGAACGTTAGCAAACTCCTTTTGATGTCAGAAAAGGCATGTCAGGGTGGTTGGCCACGCTTTATGCAAATTTGTTACTGCATTAAGTCCTTTGAAGGTAGGTTAGATTATGTAAGTTAAAGTTTAGGTTAGCCTAAGATACTTAATGAATCAAGTTGTTAGTTTATGTCGCACGCAGGCTGTTTTTGTAAAATTAAACTATTAACTATTACGAAAATGCTTTTAAAATACAGTATTGATAATTAATCAATATTTTCAATTCCATAGTTTTAATCAATATAAAAGCATAACTTAGTCCAGTTAAGAAACTGTAAGTTACCCTATTTAATTATTATGCTCTTAGGGAAATCTTTTATTTAACTTCTTCGGGTCATCGAATAATTGAAGTACCTATTGATTCGATCAATAACTTCAAACTAAGTTTTAACCAAAACCCAAATTTGTTATATTGGGTACACTTCCAAATTTGTTGGCACAAACAACCAAATGAGTAAAATTGATTATTCGATTGTAAGTAATTCGATATATCGTTTGGTTGGCTGCACTTTACTTGACGTCCTACACTCATTCGATTAATTTTTTCGATTCAATATTTTCATTCGATTGTTTCATTCGATATATCGTTTGGTTAGTTAGGTTAGGTTAACCTTACCTAACTAACCAAACGATATATCGAATGAAGCAATCGATTAATCGATATATCGATCGATATTTTCATTCGAATGAGTGTAGGACGTCAAGTAAAGTGCAGCCGTTTGGTTAGTTAGGTTAGGTTAACCTTACCCAACTAACCAAACGATATATCGAATAATCGATATATCGATCGATATTTTCACTCGGTTGTTTGTGCTAACAGATATGGAAGTGTCCCCGTTATATTGATTGCAAGCCTAGGCTCATTTGAAATAAATACATGGACTAAATGAGGGAATACCTAACTGATCAATCAAGATAAACTAAAATTAAAAAGATTAGGCCCTTGGGGCGGCCTGCAGTAGGAGTATGGCAAAATTTTCTCACTCCCTAGAGCCATTACACCTACCCGACCCCCTCTGCTTGCATTTAAACCTTGAGAGTTGAGAAGATGATAGGCCTAACCTGCTGCCCACTCAATCACCTCAATGACGTGTTTAAAACACTTGCCTTAAAACTAAACAACTTACAGCAATTTTTCTTTGCAATGTCATAGGAAAATTCTTTGTTTTTAAACCTACCTTTTCGGTGTTATAGAAGAAACGGCCTAGTAGTTGTACGAGATTCGATTTGGGGGATCGAAAAGATAATTTTCTTTGAATAGCCTAGGCCTTAGTGCGAGACAACTGCTGCTAACTTTTCTGTACAGTAATAACTCAACAAAAGGAGGATCTAACTTAGTATTCCAGGAAAATTGGAAACTAACACACGCTAAGTACACAATAACTGGCCATGCACCGACCGATCCAGGATACACCTATCCAATACTCCTGTCCTGACAGCTTAGATCATCGGTGAATAGGAGGATTGACTCATTCATTTTCATTATTTTGTTATTATGAAAAGTATCGTCTGCAATATTTTTTACCTTGTAGTACAGTGTTGCCACATGTTCAAGAAAATGATGGGTTTATGTTTGACGAGGAATAAATTTGCACGCACAACCATTGTTTATATATATATCTTAGGAGATATATAGATAATCGTACAACCATGGATAAAACATATTTCCTTGGTATATATCTTATTATATGGAACAGCTGAAGCAAATTTTACTGTTGGTTCTGTCTGGAGTCTACACTCTCTGTACATAGAACGTTTACTCCATACATCTTGGCTGCAAACGTCGAAGTGAATAATAGAAGTGCGCTGGTGTAGCTACGTGAAGCTGGCCCGCCTATTCCAGCACACTTTTTATAAATACATACCTAAAAAGTGTGCTCTTTATAACAGCTTTAAAAAAGTGTGCTCTTCTAATAATGATGATATAATCAATTGTATTTGAGGGGGCCAGAATCACGGCTGGCCCGCCCATTTCAGCCACAGATCTATAAACTATGCCAAAAAACTGTGCTGAAAGTGTGCTCACAGGAATCATTAATAAAAAAAAGTGTGGTGCCCCCGTTACCAAACAAATAACCCCCAATTTGTAAGGGTAATACAATGACCCAGCCCGCACATTTCAGCTACAGAAAGTACTATGAACATACCAAAAAACTGTGCTAAAAGTATGCCTTTAGGAACCATTAATAATAAAAAGGGTGCCCAATACCAATCGTATGTCACCAAACAAAAAACCTCAATTAGTAAGGGTAATCAATTGACCCAGCTCACCCATTTCAGCTACAGATATATAAACCATGCCAAAAAACTGTGCTGAAAGTGTGCTCACAGGATTTATTAATAACAAAAGTGTACCGCCCCCGTTACCAAACAAATAACCCCCAATTTGTAAGGGTAATAAAATGACCCAGCCCGCACATTTCAGCTACAGAATTATGAACATGTCAAAAAACTGTGCTAAAAACGTGCTTATAGGAACCATTAATAATAAAAAGTGTGCCCAATACCAATCGTATGTAATTTAGCTATACACAGTCTGGATAGTCAACCATAGACCATAAGTCAATCTACTCGCCACCCCAGCAGCCTGTAAACTATTTAATTGCTACAGATTGAATGATTATCTGACCAATGACCCAAATGCAACTTTAAATGACATATTAGCTTTTGTTTTTAGTTAAAATTGCAAGAAAAATACAAGTGTTTACAAAAGAAAAGATGTCACTTTTTATTTTAACTTTTAATCGAAAGGAATTTTGTTTAACATATTTTAATTTATCGTGAAACTTACTTATTTTTTTACATCTATATCTATCTATCTATATCTATCTATACTATTATAAAGAAGAGGTGGTGTCTGTGTGTGTGTGTGTGTGTGTGTGTGTGTGTGTGTGTGTGTGTGTGTTTGTTTGTATGAGGTAATCTCAAAAACTACTGAACCGACTGGGCTCAAATTGCACACAAATGAAGCTACAGCTCCGAGGATACATATAGAACTATTCCCGCTTCGATATTGTCCTAGGGCTCTGCCCCGTGGGCTTTCAAAAATTTGAGGTGAGAGATTTAAAAGTACTGATTGATGGTATCCATGGCAACAAAGAAAACAAACCTACACAATTTTTAAAAAATGTAAACAAGCAGAACTAACTGTCAAATGAATTTTGATTTCATAATTCCACACGACACAGCTGGTTCATACATATTAAATACTACACGAATATTAGAACAGATAGGGTAAGGATTATAAATTTAAAATAATGATGTCACTAGCCCTAATATTTAATAAAAATTACATACACACTTGGATGGTTTCCAGCCTGCCAGATCTTTTAAAATAGTTTTTATTTATTGAATGATTACAGCTAACAGCTTTATTATGGGACTCCCCTACTTTTAAAAAGCTAGATTTTGTAATGTATACGAAGTAGTTTTTAATCTTAGACAATTTAAAGACCTTTTGGTCAGAATCACGATCTTAGTTTTGTTCAGCACGAGTGAGATACCGTGAGCTACCATCCATGCGTTTATAGTTCGCATGACTCGATTTAATTTTAGCTGGGCCAGCTCAACACTCATCTGCGTTCCCAACTAAAACGGTTTCCTCAGGCATTTCAGACCTAAGGAGGATGTCGTAGGCAACGTTCCAGAGGTCCGGGCCGAATATGAAACCTTGGGCAGCACCAGAAGTGACACTCATCGTCCGCGGGCCTTCTGTATTATCATACATGAGGAGGCGGAATCGGAAGTAATCCTCTATAATGCACATGAGGTATACCGGTACGTGGAAGGTGTTCTTCAGAGCGTCCAGTATATCACACCATCCTGCAGAATTATAAATGCGTTTCGCACATCGAGTGTAACGAGCAGCACAACCCTACGAGAGTAGTGATTTAAATACCTACTCAGCTCTCATCACGGCCCACTTCACTTCCTCAATCGCGTCGACCGTTGATCGCTCCTTCCTGAACGTACTTGCGAGGGCTTAGGCATAGATAAAACATACTCCCTTAGTAGATTTCTCATCCTTATGGAACAGCTGAAGACAATTTTATTGTTAGTTCATGTACGGTTTATGTAGAGGTCGTGTTTTGTTTACAATTTGTTTCCCGTTATTATAGCCATTTAAAACCTCGTTTAACCAAATAATACGATCTAATCATAAACAATAACTTGCCCCCTAGTTATATAACCAAACAGTAAAGCAGAAATCAAGAAATTAACCCTAAAATAATTGAAACAAAGTTTCATTGACACTAGCGCCTTTGTGTCACGTACATGAACTAGACACGAAAAACGTGCTTCCAAATTTACAATGGGATGAGAAGTCTACTTGTGTTGGTTAGTCTATGGCTTAGGTCACCCGCAGCAACCACGTCTGAATTCAGTCGGGAACGGATAAACTTTTCTAGGACTTTCCCAGCCGTATCCAACAAGCAAAGGGGTCTGTAAGAGGACGGAAGTTCTTGGTCTCCTTCAGCCTTCCCTACGAGCACGAGCCTAGCTTTTTCCAGCACAACGGAAAAACCCTCTCTGCCAGGCAGGCGTTGTACGTACTCAGAAGAATCATGGGATTTATTGAAAAAAACACTCTTAAGAGCCTCGCCAGGTACCCCATCAGGTCCAGGAGCCTTTTTGATTTTAGGGATTAAACGGTAGTCTCCAGCTCCTCATGAGTGAAGAGTGGAACATCGTCCATCCTCCCAAACTCACGCAGTGGGTGCAGCATATGATCCGGAAAAGGGATTTGACAACTCTCTCCATAGTGGCCACCTCCATGACGGAAGGTTGAGAGCGGGCGGTGAGTTTTTGGGTGACAAGTTTGTAACCCAGGCCCCACGGGTCGGAATTGACATCATCCCTGTGTTTTCCAGCAATTGTGTTTGCTCCGGTTGATGGCACGGCAGAGAGACTTCCTCGCCACTTTATAGCTCTCTAGCTTACGGCGTCTATCCAAGGGTGCCCTGGCCCTGGTAGCGAGTCGTCTAGCTCTCAAAGCAGCTCGACGCAAATCCGCAATCTCGGCAGTCCATCAGTATACGGGTCTCATATCGCAACGGAGTCTCTTGCGGGGCATTGACTCTTCACAAGCCGAGGTAATCAGCTCCATCATCGATGTAACTGATGTCTCTGCATGAGCCATGCCAGGTGCGGCAAGCACCGCTGGCACTCCACGCAGGATGTCCGCGGTGAATTTAGCCACGTCCAGTTTTTTGGTGTTCCACCGAACGGTCACTTCCTGAGACACAGCAACTTGTCTCGGGAGACGATCTAAGACATCGAAATAATGTACTGGTGGTCGCTGGCCGTATAACCCTCCAAGACTCTCCAGGCTGTGATCCTCGGCAGAAGAGACTCAGACGCAAGGGTTGTGTCTGGGATCGTTCCCCTCATGCCGGGTCACCGGATAGTTGGCATGTTGCCCTCGTTGATGACAACGGGTCCGGCCCTGGCAGCAATGTCCAGGATGTACTAACCTTACCAATTAGGGGTTATTTGTTTAGTAACGGGGGGGGGGCACACTTTTTTTATTAATGATTCCTGTGAGCACACTTTCAGCATAGTTGGTTGGCATGGTTTATAGATCTGTAGCTGAAATGGGCGGGCTGGGTAATTTTATTACCCTTAACAATTGGGGCTTATTTGTTTAGTAACGGGGGCGACACACTTTATTGATTAATGATTCCTGTGAGCACACTTTCTGCACAGTTTTTGGCATGGTTTATAGATTTGTAGCTGAAATGGGTGGGCTGGGTCATTTAATTACCCTTACCAATTTTGGCGGTTATTTGTTTAGTAACGGGGGTGGCATTTTTTTTATTAATGATACCTCTGAGCACACTTTCAGCACAGTTTGTTGGCATGGTTTATGGATCTGTAGCTGAAATGGGCGCGCCACTTCAGCACACTTTTTTAAAGCTGTTATAAAGAGCACACTTTTTTGTATGTATTCAAAAAAAGTGTGCTGGAATGGGCGGGCCAGCTTCACGAGAAACCCTTCCCGACAGACCGCCACCACCCACCACTACACTCCACCGCTCCAGCGAACACCATTACCGCAACGATACGTTGTAGTTGTACAGCCATCGGGCTCGGTGGTGTAGGGATAGCGCGCCGGGCTGATAATTCGAAAGGTAGCCGGTTCGAAACTCGCCGGAGGCATTAACTTTTGGATTCGATTATTTTCATTATCAGCAAGTTTGGTTGGAATACTGTAACAGAATACTGGAAACTGGAACTGGAGCTGGAACGGGAACGGGCTGTGGAGCATTTTGACGTAATAGCGAATAGTCTAGTCACTTCGCAGTCGAAATGTCGAGCTCCAGAATTGAGCGAGCGAGTACTTGAGCTTGAGCGCGCGCAGTCAGTCGTCGGTCACTCGTCACTCCGTCAGTCACTCGCTTAACTCACCACACACACGCACCACACCGTCCACACCACGCAGATTGCGCTTGACTAACCTTGGCGACGGGCGACGGTCGTGCTTCAAGGAGAGGTTACTTGAGGGAAGAATAGGCCTAATACTTAACACTTTTTAATAAAAATGGCAAGTGACATTAGAAAAAATGGGAATGTCAACCCTTCTGACCTTAAACGAGTTACTGTTGTGTTGGGTGCACAATGGGGCGATGAAGGGAAAGGAAAAGTTGTGGATATGCTTGCTGCACATGCTGATCTTGTCTGTCGTTGTCAGGTAACTTAAATTTAATTCATATTACCTAGCTACACATTATGGTAACTAAAAATTCTTATTTTTATATATTTTTATTGCTAGACTTAATAAAACAGTCCATGTTTTTAAATATGTTCTGTGTAGACCTAATAGGTGTAACTTAAGTTAACTTAACTCAGCTTAAAAATGTTTTTTTTAAATTTAGGTATTATATTAACCAGTGGTGCGCCCCAATACAAGTTTCTCCAAGGCGCCCTCGCCCCTATTCGTACACTTATTATCCCCCCCCCCCCTTAACCTCCAACGAAACTAACAATAACATTTCTCCGTACTTCCACACTTTCTGGATACTATTTCACTTCACACAACATTGTACAAGCTCTATCCAATTAGAGAAGATTATTCAAAAAGAGGGTGCACTTTACGTCATACACTCATTCAAATGAAAATATCGATCGGAATATTGATTAACTTAATCGTAATTAGGGCCTATGATTATTTTCAATTGATTTTTAATAGGTATTGTTTTAAATAATATATCAGCTGTAAATATGATCAGTTAACACGTTCCCTACCGACCGTCACACACTGTTACTCTGTAAGTTAGCTGAGGGATGAGTATAGTTCGTAGCTAATGTGTTAACACGTTCCCTACCGTCCGTCACACTACTCTGTAGCTGAGGAATGAGTATAGTTGGTAGCTAATGGGTTAGGCTAAGTTAGTTTATCTTAAATTTGTAAATAAACTGAAACAAAATTTTAAAAAAAATTAACTATTTAATAGGATAAAAAAAAAAAACAACAAATTATAGCATTCTAAATTCTAAATGTACCGTGGTTAAAATATTCCAGGATTTAATTGTTTCACAGCTTTAATGAAGAAAAAGAAAGGGTCTTCCTTAGAAATCTTAACATCCCTACGATACAGATATTCAGCAAAATGAGCCGTTGTGAGTATAGTAGACGTTTTTCTAAGAGACGATTACCTAATGCAAGCACTTTTATTCGTGTTCATCGATGTTTTACCGAAAAGGGAAGCTTTCCCAGCAAAGGGCGCACTAGGCAATCTCGTGTAGGATGTTGGCGTAGAAGAAGCTGTGTTGGACTCTGTGGAAAGAAATCCGAGTACTAGTAGGCCTACAAGAAATATTGCTGGTGAATTTGGTGTTAGTCAAAGTTTTGTTTCAAATCTTTTGCTTTTAATGAAGGACTGCATCTTTATTTCAAGAGTCCAAACTCTATCCAGCAGAATGACCATGGTGATTTTTGAAAAGAATTTTATGGACCAATGAGTCCTCTTTCACGAAAGATGGCGTGTTTAACTACCACATTGAACATTTGTTGAAAACCCAAATCTTGTGCAGTCAGTCCCGGTTTAAAATAAATGTATGGATTGGTTTGATTGGTAACCATCTTGTAGGTCCATACCTTGATCTTCCTCTGTCACTAAATGGTGATCAGTACCTGCAATTCCTCCGTGATGACCTTCTAGAGCTTCTTGAAGACTTCCCACTTAATTTGCGTGAGCAAATGACTTTTCAAGCTGATGGTGTTCCGCCACACTTCTGTCGTAATGTACGCGAGTACCTACATAACAAACAACTTTGACACGTATAGATTGGAAAGGGAGGGAAGGTTCCTTGGCCTCTGCCGTCCCCAGACATTACGCCTATAGATTTCTATGTCTGGGGATTTCTCAAAGCAGAAGTCTACCGTTCCCCTGTACACAATGCCGAAGAGTTAAGACAGCGGATTGTAAGAGCAGCCAATCATCTTCGGGAAGAAGTGAACTTGAGAGCTTGTGTGAAAGAGCTAAGGAAGAGAGTTTGCGTGTGCATTCAAGCTAATGGTGGACATTTGGAAAATCTATTCAGGGGTGCCCACAGGGGGGTTTGATGTCGCAAAATGCGACATCAGAATTTTATTTGGGGGGGATTTTATGATTTTGGGGGGGATTCAAGCCAGTGGTTGGTTAAAAGCACATAAAAGATTAATCAGATAATTTTTACGACCTCCTTAATTTATTACTGGGGTAATTATGCAATCAAAATCCCGTTTGACATTTTATCTTGATTAATAAATCATTTTATAATTGCTATAAAATATATAGATACTTTTATGTGGATTTCCACTTTCTGACTCGTATCATGTTTGACAGTGAGAACAACTCAATGCCAACTGATGCCAAAGGATTATGGTTGCTTATTAAATTGTATCTGCAATTTGAGTTTGTTTTTACCTTTCATTATGAACTCATTCTCAAATAGTCTCATTGCCTTGAGGACCTGTTGATGGTTTTTTTAGGTTTATTTATTATAATATATTCTTGATTCATAAAAAACCAGTATTATGATAATGATAATCATTTTGCTATTTTTACAACATGAAAGCTTGTGATAATATTTTGACTCTCCCAAATAATTATGCCTGAGTCATTTATTCATTGGAAGAAATTGACATACAGTACTGTGACAATTTATTTAAGGTTTTTGATAGGCTATGTGTTTACGTTAACTTCAAGAACTAAAACACATGATTCTGGATTAAATAAATTGTATTTGTTATTGTCTTTTCTTGAATCTAGAAAGAGCTTCAAACAAATTTTACTAGTCTTAGAATAGATCTATAATTATTTTTTTACGCCACACTACACTATTGCTACACTATTGTTGTATTTTGACGAACTTCCCATGCAAGGATTTAGTCCAGAAAACAGCTGTTTGTCCTTAATCAAATGGGGTTTCATACAGTACTACTGTACTGTAATGAGTTTTGCCGGACACCAATCAGCTGATTATACTGTATTTGGGTGGCAATGAGTGGTTATAACAAAAACATAACCTCTCTTAGAGGTTATGACTAGTGATTTTTAATCCTTTAGTTGGTGGTAATATAGGGATTTGAACGGATTTAGTAGTATGGCGTAAACTATCGTACGTCACTCGTCCAAAATGTGTTGGCCGGACTCGTATAAAAAAAATAAAAAACACTACTCGACTTCGTCTCGCACGGGATTCAGGACTAGTAACGTAATATACTATTTTACCACATTATGATGTTTTTAACTGTTTTACATATAGGTACATTAATTGGTGGCTGAAAGTTACGTTTTGCAGGCCATGCCAGCTGTCATCGTCATTTGGGGATCGAGCAGGTTTTTACATCCCTAGGGCCGCAAAATCAGCTGCCCGTTTTAAATACACAATCAGTATCCATAGCATTGCAATAGAGTTGTTTTATTGTCACCGCTGCCTAGCAACTATTTATTATTATTTTTGCTGATTCCACAAATTATTTATCCACATGACCTTAAAGTTGTAGTTGTGTTGACTATATGAGTGTGCAGTGCATTATCATTGAGATGAATTAGTGGTAATAGGGTATAGTGTGGGGTGGTGAATAATAGCGTTCGTACCACGGACATGGTTTTGCAGTTCTCGATCGTTTTAAGTTCTCGACCTCGTATCGAACTTAAAAACTACCTCGAACCAGCAAAACCTCATTTTGGCCCTAGGCACGAAATATACTATTAAGTTTAGGCCTAGTAATATTTTTGAGACTGAATATTTTACACTTATTTAAAAAGGACCAAACTCAGAAGTGGATTAAAGGGCAATTTAGAAAATATCTCAAACTTTTTGACATAACTTCAAGTACTTTCTCCCCTACAATTTAATATGGTAAAAGAATTGTTTATGTAAAAACCCTGATCCCAAAAAAGTGGTTTTCGAAGTGATGTGTGTATGTGTGTATGTATGGTATAGAGCTACAGACCACGCCTGTGGTCCGAGTCCGATTTAGATGACATTTGGTATTTTAGGTACCAATCCATGGTCTCTCCAGATGTTTTTTTTTTCATTTTGGATTTTTAATAGTGATATTCCATAAAACCCTATAAAATAATGGATGAATAAAATTTTCTCAGAATTGGCCCGAACGATTTTGATTAAAAATTAACATGTTAATAATTAACATGTGTTTTGACTATGACAAAATTGTATAAACCCTCTATGCCGTAAAAATTATGGTTCAGAAGTTATTGCAACTTTTGTGATTTTCCCTTTTAAAACCTATTAACTCATGGAAAATCTGATAAAAAACATACATGGCCAATTTTGATTCAAATTGTGTGCATGTTAAAAATCCAACTCATTTAAATTGAAATTAAACTAACAAATAGTTTGCTACTAGAGTTTTAAAGGAAAATTGTCCATTTAAATTGGGTTAAAATTTTGATTCAAACGCTTAAATTCCCATAAATTTAAAGAAGTGTCGGGGGCACCCCTTCCCTCCCCGCATTATAAACATAACTGGCCAGTTATGTTCGGTTAGCCCCCAGACCTTCCGGCATGGGTTAAACAACGAATTTGGGGGGGATTCTGCGACGTGAGCTTTGGGGGGGATGGGCACCCCTGAATCTATTAAAGTAAATTTTTTTGCCAGCCTTATCTCTAAATGTACATCTAGACGTTAATATAACAATACCTAGACATAAAACATGCTCACTCAGAGAGAACAAAAAATGAGGAGCAGGGACAGGCTGTAAGGTCAAGTTTTTTTCCTACGGCAGTCTCAGCTAAGCTGTTAGCTTAGTTTGATGAGTGGCGATCATGTCAATTGAAAACAATGAGGCTAGAAAAATAGACTTTAATGACATTTTCAAGACATTTGCTTGAGCAAAATCCAGGTGAATGCCATTTAATGTTTACCTATTAGGATCTTATATCTAAATATGATAATGTGGTTTTCTTTTATTCAGTACATTCTATTCAGATTATGTTTGATTTGAGGTTTTGCATACCATTGCATTTATTTCAATAATTTGAACTGTATTAATTAATAATATATATATACCGTAGTACTTTTTATATAGGTTTTCATTTTTTCTTACAATAATTGTAGCCTATGTATTTGATTATCATCAATTAAAAAAGATTTCCATAGAAAATGTAAGTAATTTAATCCCTGACTATAGAGGACCCATGCTGCTCCGCAGCATTAAAATAAATATATCCGAGAAATAATTAAATTTATGATTTTTTATTGAGTAATACAGTATCTTTAGCCTATAATTTACTGATATTTTTGAGTCTAATACATTTAAACAACATGAACAATACTGGAGCTATTGATTTGTTATCATAGAAAACCCTTATGAAAAATAATTTTTATGTTGGTTGTTCATCTTGCGTTTGCTTGAAGCTCATCCGATTTAAATAACTAATAGCTTAAAAGAAAGCCAGTATTTCACTGAAGGTTCTTGGACCAAAATATATAGGATTACCTATATAATTATAACTGTTGAAATACATTTTAAATTGAAGTAAACTTAATCTTAAATTAAAAAATGAATCAAATTATGCTGATGCTAGATGTGAAATCTTTGCGTGCATGCCTACAATTTGAGACCTCAATCATGAAAATCGGTGGGGTAGAAAAGCCAAACGAATTCAGAAAAGAGAAACAAAATTTAACTCTCATAAGAAATGCATGGAGAGGAAATTTTGTTTACGTATAAACCGAGTGGGATCATAGATAAATATATGCCAATGCTTGATGGCAAATCTGTGTGTTCATGCCTTCAATTTGAGACCTCAATCATGAAAATTGGTCGGATAGATGAGCCAAACGAACTTGGATATGTCCACTTTGTATATGTGCATTCATTTTCTAGAACAAAATTATGGAGACGATGAAATAGTAATGATATTTGGTTAATTTTGTAATGGCCATTCTCATGGCTCATTAATTCAGGATTTTTATTGCCAATTATCTATTGGGTCTGAATGGTCTGATTGTGGTTTAGTGCCACTGAAAAATCAATTAACTTGAACACCAACCTTACATTAAATAATAATATTTATTTACCATCTTTTAAGTGTTTTTTAGCGATATAAGGAGATAAATGTAGCTTGGCATTTTGCACGTTGATAAAGAAATCATTCACGTAGACCCTAAGATATTGAGATATAACTATAAAAAATTCTGTATAAATTACCAACTCAAGAAACGTTATTGCATCTTTATTGTTAAAATGAACCTTTCTTTTGTTTGAATAAATGTAAGAGTATTGAAATATAATCAAAGAGTTATAGAAATAGTTGAAACCCAAAACTTAGTGTTTGAGCTGTAAAAAATCTATAGCTAGGGTTTGAATACAACCACTTTTGAAAAAAGAATAAAAAACATTTAATTACTCTGGTATTAAAAAGATTGCAATATAACGTTGTAGGAAATGTTAAAAACCAAAGTTTCTTAAAGAATGAGAATGATGAAAACATAACATTTATTTGGCTCGAAGTTCTGCTTGGTAATGGTCTTTTACCGTGACTGACATAACAATAGAACTCATTATTGAATTAAGTAATTCACTTCAGTACCAGTCAGTACAATGCATGTCAAAGGAGGGATGGTAGAATATTCCGTGCCCATAAATAAAACCTTGTCCTCATAACCTTTGTCAATAACAACTTGAAGTTACCATAAACATAAAAATATATGACAAACCAAAATACTCTGCTCTGCACACCTAAATTATTGAGTCAAATATTTTATCATTGTATAGAATTATGATCTTTAAACTGGATACCTTCCGAATTCATATTTTTACCAACGTTTTATTTTGTTAGAACTTAACTGAGCATTGAATATGAGTGAATTAAATTAATCCTGATTACCTATCTGTATTAATTTTTGTATATGCCTTTTTAGCCCTTTTCATGTTACTCCCTTTAATATATTGTACATATTCATTCAGTATTAAAGAACCTTCTTAGTCTCTACTCATCTACACTCAGTCCCAAACCCCATGATGTCCTCAGAGGTCCAAAGCCATATCCGTTCAAATTCATATACTTATGTGTGTGTGTGGGTCCGTAAGTAAAAACCCAAACAAAACGTACATCCGATGTTGATAAAATTTGGTACATAAAGTAAACCTACATTTGTTTGAACGAGTACTTTACGCTTATTTCATGCTGTTTGTAAAATTAAATGCATTTGTCACATGCATACATTGTCCTCAATAATGTATTTTTCACCACACTACTATATTTTTAGCAGTTTTACAAATGTTTATTGGAGGCCGGAAGCTACGTATTGCTGGCTATGCCAGCTGTCATCGTTATTTGGGGACTGAACGGGTTTTTACATCCCTAGGGCCAAAAGTCAGCTGTTCGCTTACTTAAATATATTAGTATAAAAATTAATTGTCAAACTCTGATTGGACCGGTACCCTACTCTTTTTTGTAAAATTCCCAAATTGTAATAAATTTGTATGTTATGAATGCATATTAAATACACAATCAGTATCCATAGCATTGCAATGGACTTGTTTTATTTTCACTGCTGCCTAGCAACTATTTATTATTATTTTTGCTAATTCCTTCAAATTATTTCTTCAAATAACCTTAAAGATATAGTTGTGTTGACTGTTGTATGCATTATTGTTGTGGTGTATAGTGGTAATAGGCTATAGGCCTAGTGTGATGAAAAATAGCGTTCATACCACGGACCGTAATGGTTTTGCAGCTCTCGAGCGTTTGTTCTCGAATTTGTCTCGAACTTAAAAACTATCTCGAGCCGGCAAAACCTCATTTTAGGCCCTAGGTACGAAATATACTATTTCCACTTCACATTTATCTATTTCAAACCCATTCATGTGAAAACTATGTTATAATTTGTGTGTTTTAGTCACATGTTAAATTACAATAGGCCTAATTAGGCTATTGTAATTAAATATAATTCTACATATCATGTAGGCCTACATCGTTCCTACTACTATGGCTTGGTGCCCATAGTTTTAGGGAAGACTCTAAATAAGAGGGCCGAAATAGTCTTGATCATTTCGTGGGATCTTCATTAACTGTGACACACTTACACAGACATCTGACACATCATAAGTAAAAATTCATTTTTATATGTTTAGTTCATCATATGTGAAGTTGTTTGTTAGTGAGACAAAAGTTCATCATGATATATGTACACATGCACAAAGTACCTCATTTAAACTAAACATCGCCTTTTTTTATAATATGTTTCTAAATTTGTTTATGGTTTTCATAAAAAAAAAACAAACAAAAAACATGATAAATGGCATCAGCAATCAAACACATATTTTCTCCCATAAACGTGTCAACATCAACAACCCTTATCATAGGCATGTGTTGGAAGTAAATTTGATATTTTATGGGGAAAATCACAACAGCCGCAATAACTTGTTAACCATAATTTTTACACCACTTTTGTGTTTAGAATTAAAAGGACCATTTTACATACAAAATTTTAACCAAAATCATTGTACCGTAGCAGTTTTTTTTTTTAAATCTGATTTTATGTTGATTCATGTGGAAATCACAATTAAAAGGCAAAATTAAAAACCAACTCCCGGAGATGGATTAGCACCCCAAACTTGTTCAAAGTCTGTCCACAGGTGTAGTCAGAAGCTCTGTATACATCCACACACACATAGCCAAATGCTTACAAACAACATTCCCACTTTTCTATATTTTTATTGAGAGTCCTGAGACTAGAATGTGGATTACAGGGAGGCAACAATGCAGGTCACACAGTTGTGGTAGAAGCTCAGGAGTTTGACTTTCATCTGCTACCAAGTGGAATCATCAACCCCAAGTGCAAGTCAGTTATTGGTAAGTCAGTAGGTATAATTATGTTGTACAGTACTAAGTCATTCAGCAAATGATCTTTTATTTTGGCTGAGTTTAAAGAAAACTCTGAATCATTAGGCTCCTTTCTGATAGTCTTGATATCTTTATACAGTATACTTCAAATCAAGTAAATTCCCAAATCTGATTAAACCATAAGCATAGCATAGTCATACAAAGTATAGTTTAATGTATTCCTAATTAATAGCAGCAATAAAACTTTTATTTTAGTAACAAGCTAACTGAATATCAATCCCTGCTATGGTCATAATACCCCCGCCGCAGCAAACCTGCCGACTAAGCGAATTTCCATTTGTCTTAATTGATTTTCAATTAAATATATTTTAATAACATTGGGTTTAACGAGTACCTAGGTTTGCTGCTACAAGGAAACTAATAAAGTGTGTTTTTTTGTAAAATATTGATAGCTTAGTACAAAATAAATAAATTTGATCAAAATACAAAATATATCCATAAACAAGCAAACTACAACATTTTACAATATTCTCCATAAGAATAACATTGGAATTTAAAATTTTTTTAATTTTCTCCGTTACTATCAACCGAACAAAAATACTTTTATATACTAAATTAATTGTTTTTTAAGCTCTTTAAAAAGGTCTAAAGAGAAATTGGGAAATTTTGTGTTTTGAGGGTCAAAAGTAAGAAAAACCAATTTTTACCCCATAAAACCCCCCGTAAAGCCCCGTTCCCATGGTCCGATCATGCTGGTTCGCGAACTCATTCAAGTTTATCCCGCCTTACACCTTCAAACCAAATTTTATCAAAATCGGACAAAAATTACTCAAGTTATCGTGCAGATGGACACATATATATAGATATATAAAAATTTGAACAAATGCTGTTTTTGGCCTCTGGGGACATCAAAATGAAAAAGTAAATCGGTCCCGGGCTTAGGTCTTACCATGAGACCTACGGTAATAGCTACTTCCCTATAGGGAAATTCGCTAAAAGGCAATATCTGGTAGTGTCATGGTATAAAATACTACTAGCTTCGTACAAAACAAAAAAAAAATTAATGTAGTTAATGTATATTTAACCTTTGAAACGTGCTTATCATGGTTACTATAGGTTCTGGCGCAAACCACTGGGAGTGCCGTGTAGTTACGTAGCATGTAAGCCGTAACTACATGGCGCTCCCAGCGGTGTGCGTCAGAACCTATGGTAACTGCAGCACAACTGACGGTCTAGATATTTAATTCCTTTATCTATAATTCTATGGAAGTTGTTGGACTTAACGCTAAATATCATGTTCCTCGTTACCATGTGTTGAGTTTTGCCCAAAAAGTTCAATTTCATAAAATAAACATTACCGAAGTTTATCAGCTCTATTATTAATACAAAATTGCACTGTCAAGGTAATTGTATATTTAAGATACCCCCCAACAGCAAACCTGCTGACTAAGCAAATTTCCAAATGCCTGATTCAGGTTATAGGCTGGGATGAAATTTGTTTTAGCAAAAATGCTACAAACTCTCAGACAACTGTAGCAAAAGTATTATTCTTTTAGCATTAATAAAAAAAAAAATACAGTAATATCACATGTTTGAATATTACATCTTAATTTTGATTTGTAGCAAATTTGCTTTAAGACCTGCAAAATCAATGTGTGGCGTTTTTATTTAGTTTTTAGTTTTTAAGTTGTGTATAGCAAAATGCTAAAAATGCTACCACAGCTTAAACCCTGACCTGATTTTATTTCTACTTAAATCTATTTAAATAACATTATTAGGTTTAATGATTATTAGGATTTGGTGCTACAGGGAGAGTAATAGGAATGTGTTTTAGCGAACTTCCCCATAGGGGAGTAGCACTATATTTTTTTGCATTTATGAAAACAGCTAATTTGAACTAAGCAGCAACAAAAAACTGTGATTCGCAATGAGAACTGTCAAAGTAGGATTGTTTAGAGTTATGTTTATGTTTCTCATTTCATGAATAATTTGTGATATTTTGCGAATTGTTGATAATTTATTTTTCTCTATTGTTTAGGTGAAGTGGTAGAACATTATGGCTATGGTAGATGTGTAATACTATAGAATACTGTAAATTTAAAAAAGCAAATTTTATCAAACTGTGTCCTCCCTTATTGCAAACGCAAAGCTTGAGTAACTTATAACTGCAATAAGCATTTTATAATTATATTCCAACCCCGTACAAAGGACGGGTACTCTGCTAGTATATTATATATACGCCCGTGAACTTGAGTAATTTTGGTTTGATTTTGATGAAATTTGGTTTAAAGATGTAAAGGCGAGATAAACTTGAATGAGTTTGCAAACCAGCATGATTGGACCATGGGAACGGGGTTTTATGGGGTAAATAATGGTTTTTCTCTTTTTTTACCCTCACAACACAACACAAAATTTCCCTATTTCTCTCCAGACCTTTTAAAAGAGCTTAAAAAAACAAATAATTTAGTAGGCTATATCAAAGCGTTTTTTTACGGTTATTGATCACGGAGAAAATTTAAAAAAATTGTTAATTAAAAATTCCCGTGTTATTCTTATGGAGAATATTGTAAAAAAATGTTGTACTTTGCTTGTTTATTGATATATTTTTATCAAACTTGGCAAATATATTTATTTTGTACTAAGCTATTAATATTTTATAAAAAAATACACATAATTAGTTTTCTTGTAGCAGCAAACCTAGGTCCAGACTCGTTAGACCTAATGTTATTTAAATAGATTTAATTGAAAATCAATTCATACAAGTGGAAATTTGCTTAGTCGGCAGGTTTGCTGCGGCAGGGGTATTTTAGTAAAATATTAGGCCTAATAGCTTTGTTTAAAAATAATAAATTTGCCAAGTTTGATCAAAATATATCCATAAACAAGCAAACCATTATGAGAGTTTACTTATTCTCCATTAAAATTACATGGGAATTTTTAATTTATATCTTTTTAAATTTTTTCCACAACTAATAAATAACTGTACAAACACTTTTCAATATAGGCATACTAAATTATTTGCTTTTAAGCTCTACAAAATTGTTTGCAAATAAAGTGAAAAATTTTATCTTTTTTTAGGGTTAAAAATAGGAAAACCAATTCTTACCCCATAAAACCTCAATAAACCCCAGTTCCCATAGTCAGATCATGCTGGTTTGCAAACTAGTTTGAATAAATGTAGGTTTACATGTTTATACTGTTGTACCAAATTTATCAAAATCGGATGATTTTTACTCAAGTTATCGTTAACAGACACATTATACATAGCCACCATACCCGTACTTCGCAACGGGAAAAGAACGCTAAAGATGGTAGGATCATGTTCTATAGATCTGCTGCAGGAAAGTTATTAACTCATAAATAAATGTCCACAGTTTTGACAAAGCGCCAACAAAATAATTTTAAAACCATTTTATATTAATTTGGCAATTATCAATTAATTGAGATGAGGACGCCATCTATGTGGGTATTTTGACCCAAGCGGCTGCAAAATAAGACAGAGCCTTAGGAGAGTATTAAAAAAAAAATGACTGTGTCCATTAAGCCTATACAGTAGTATATTTGCTCTATGCACGGAAAAAATCTGTTCAATTAAGGCCAAGTAGTTTTCACGTCATTGACTTACCTTAAACTTTCTCATCTGTAATTTTAATTCCTCCTTCCACCCAAGTCAATGACTTGATCATAAAGTAGAACCTCTTTAATCCGAACTAATTGGGACCGTGGGTGGTTCGGACTATTGAATAGTTCGGATTACAGAACATATTGTTGTTTTTACATAACAATAGCTAGGGAAAAGTGAAAATGCTTTATAAAGTAAAATTCATTCAGTGTTTATTTAATACAGTTGTAAACATAGGGAATAAACAGTACTGTGCATTACAATTAAAATAATTACGGTGCGTATATCAATAAATACAGTATTAAAAAAAAAATACTTTTCTGAGTATAGAGTACAGCAATGAGGCGTTCGGATTAGTGGACGTTCGGATTACAGGGGTTCGGATTAAAGAGGTTCTACTGTATAATATTAATTGGTAATGTGAGCCAACCACATGTACCAACCACATGTGTTTGTGGTAATGTGTGGCTCATCATGTAAAATTCAGCCCAATCTGACCTGTAGTAGTTTAATAGTTAGTAGTTGATGCGTGATTGAGCTCCAAACAAATTAACAAACAAACAAACAAACAAAATTAACACATAATGATTCACTTATAAGTATGAAGTATGATATATATACTTATATATATATATGAATTTGAACGGATGGTGTTTTTTGACTCTGGGCACATCAAAACGAAAAAGTAAACCAGTCCTGGGTCGAGGTCTTACCATGAGATCAACAGTAAGTCAGCGTACTTGCTTAGGCTATTTTGACTCAAGGGGTACAAATCCAATCAGAGGTTTAGACCTGAGTCTGCAATGTAAAGTACTACAGGCAAGGTCAATAACATGGACAGTTACTTTGTTGTTGTCACTGCTGTATTTTCACGGCTGTTAGCACTTTTCATGGTTCATATTTGATGACAACACATATATAGCAACTTTTTTATTCTTCATGACAAAGCAACTGGAATTTTGATTAGTCTAAGTGTTTTACTATTAGCTCTACACAGTTAACCTTAAGCAAATATATAGGCCTAGTCTAGTTTGGTGGTTATAAATTAACCAAATTCTGTAAAATTGCCTATTAATCCTCCATCTTAATCTAAAACTTAATATTGTAACTTATACTGTGACTCACATGTGATAACCATAATTCTAAAGAACGGCAAGTTAGAATTAAAGTTGTTTTCTAAAACATTAGACTTGTGAAAATTTCACAGTTTCCTTTAGTAGTTCAATGCAATTTGTTTCACTAAACCCCTGATTATAGCTAAGACTGATTATCAGAGATAATGTTCAGGTATGAACAGGAGGATCAGGGTCTTGATCCATGATTAAGAGAGAATTTATTTGGATTTATTACATTTTATAATGCTACAAAACAGCATATTCCAATCACATTGTAGCATTAAGCATGCACAAAGAAATGTTTATAAGAGGAATTCAAAACGCGAAATAAATCAATTATGTAGACAATGATTGCCTAGGATTATGTTAGAATATAAAGCAACTTTAATGTTGCAACTGCATGTAGGAGGCCTACACATTTTTATTTTGCAAATCAAACTAGAATAATGACAAGATTAGTTTTATACTCATATATAAAATATTTGGAAAATGTTTGAAGATAAATCCAACATATTTCATTGAGTTACAGAGTTCATAAAACTTGTGTACCGTATCCGTCAATCAATTGCAATAAATAATCCTAGCTCTGAATCGATGGATCCATTATCTGCCTACTGATAAGTTTTGAAATGCTAAGAGTATGTTGCATAGCACTTTTAGTTTTTTTGTACAATTTATTAAAATATTTATTAACATAACTGTTATCTGAAATGTGTTAAGATTCTGATGAGGTGATGATTGCTAGCTTGGGAGACTGCCTTGATGCAGCTGATCTTGTGTAATCTACCATGCAAGGTCATCAGCACTAAACTACAATAATTAATACACTCTGTTATCTTACATCTTGTTAGGATACTCACTTGTTAAGGGGACCACATTTTTAATTAGTTCTTAATTCAATAAAGTTTTTATGTGGTGTATCTGAACACTGCATATTCTTTATGTTGTATTCTTAATTGTGTTGATAGCACTTAATAATATATAGAGATGTGTTCTAAAATTTGTCCAAGTCTCCCATTAATAGTTTTTTGGACAAAATTATAATATAATCTCCTTGATTTGATTGGAATAATGAAGCAGACTAAGCCACTCAAATGAAAAAAAATCTTTATCAGCTAACATTGCCTCAAAATTAGTCCACATTACACAAGCAAAGATAAAATAAATCGTGTCAGTAAACTGACACATACTTTCTCTCATTAGCTTGCCAAAAACCCTTATAATGTGGTGGGAGTCCCATACAACCTCATAAATGTGGAGGATGGGGTGGGAGCAACTTTGATATTTTATAAGTAAAATATTAAAAAATTAAGTAACTTTTGATCCATTACTTTTACAATATTTGGGTTATGGTTATACCATTTCATTTATAGTTAAAATGTCCATAACATACTTAATTTTGTAAAAATCAGAATTTTTGTTTTTATAGGTTCTTATGGAAAGTTACAATTAAAAACAAAAATTTGAAAAAATTAAAAAAAGTCTATAATACCCCCACCACAGCAAACCTGCAAACTAAGCGAATGTCCATTTGCTTGATTGGATTTACACTAAAATATCGTCTTTAAAATACCACAAAATTATTCCCTATTTAAATAGCATTAGTTTAACGAGTACTTAGGTTTGCTGCAACAGGGAGGGTTTAAAAGTGTTATTTTTTAATGTTAATACCGTATGTAGTTTAGAATGAAATTAATGCTTTTTCCAAATTTGATCAAAATATGTTCATAAACAAGCAAACTACAACAGTTATTTATTCTCCATAAAATAACATAAGGATTTTAAATTTACAACTTTTTGAATTTTCTCCGTAACTGTTAGGCGCATAATGATGATTCAATATACTAAATAATTTGTTTTTTTAAGCTGTAAAAAATGGTTTTCAAAGAAATTGCAAAATGTTATGTTTTTACCTAGGTTCAAAAATGGGAAAAATGGTTTTACCTCATAAAACCCCCCATAAACCCCTGTTCCCATGATCCGATCATGCTGGTTCGCGAATTCGTTCAAATAAATGTAGGTTTATGCGTTTATACCAAATTTCACCAAAATTGGATCATTTTTGCTCGAGTTATCGTGCTAACGGACACACACACACACATATATATATATGAATTTGAACAAACGGTGTTTTTGGCCTGTAGGGACCTCAAAACAAAAAAGTAAATCGGTCCTGGGTCCAGGTCTTACGATGAGTACTACGGTAAAAGCTTATAGGAAATTCGCTAAAAAACATGGATTTAATCCACATACCAAATTTGGTCAAAAACGGACCACAGATGTTGTCAATAGCTCTGTACACATCCACACACATATAGACATCAATTCTGTGTATAGGGGAATAAAGTAAAAAACCTATTTGAAAATGAGTCTGCAATATTATTAGCCTCGAGATTGCAATTACAGTAAAACCTAAATATTGGTGTTGAATATAACTGAATAGAATCTATTGTAATCAGTGGTGTTGTTGATTTGTGTACAAGTGAGAATAAAATAAAGTGGTAATTGATTACTAAAGTTTATTTTCAGGCAATGGAGTGGTTATTCACTTGCCAGGATTATTTGATGAACTGCAAAAGAACGAGGACAAAGGCCTGAAGGATTGGAAGAACCGGTTATTGATATCAGACAGAGCTCACATTGTTTTTGATTTCCATCAGGTAAATCACTTAATACACATCTGTCCATACAGTAGATTAGATTCCCTATTATCCATCATAGAGAGTGGCTGAGTAATTGTGTACAGTATAATCACAATCGTGATTAATGCAATCCTAACTTAAAAAGCTCGTAATAACTATCATTGACTTCAAATACAGTAGAACCCTGATAGTTCGACACTTTGTGGGGGGTGTCGAACTATCGAAATGTCGTACTATAGGGAGTAAATGGAGTTTAATATACATGAAAGTAAAAACACAAGTTTTATATAGAAATCACCCAAATTTATTAAACACATGGTGAACATAAAAGAAGTGAACAACTTTGAACATCAATTTATCGAAAACTACGGGTCCGACATCGCTGCGGTTGGTACCAGTGAGTCGGAAAACACCTTAAGTTTTGTCTCAAACAGCTGATTGCTGTCAACAATACAAACATGTGACAAAAGACATTATTTATTGATTTGTTTAAAAATGGTCAATACGCTCTCTGAAAAGTCTTTTTGTGTGTTAGAATTAGAGAGAACTCAGTCGCCACCAGTGTCCACTTGTGACTTTTTTTGTGGGGAATGTGAAAGACAAAGTTTTTGTTCCTCCTTTGCCATTGAACCTTATGGAGCTCCGAAATCGTATTACTACTGCAGTACAAAGTGCCAATGAGACCATTCTTGAAAAAGTTTGGGCAGAATTTATTTTTAGAATAAATGTGTCTAAAATAAGCCGAGGACCCATATTGAGCACTTGTAATATATGGGAAAAACTTGAGAATCTTACCTTTCTAACGGTGTATATCACGTAGTATAACTTTCCTGTAATCTTTTATTCAAGTTGTTAACTTCTTTTGTTAAGCTTAAGAAAGCTTTTGTAACCACCAGCAGGTTTTTCTGTTTTGACTGCAAGGCTTTTAGTCGGCAGCATTCTAAAATTTAGGCCTGTGTTCAAGCCTCAGTCAGTGTCGAACTACACAGAGTGACAAACTATCGACGGTTAAAACTTTAAAATTTTTTATTTTTAATATGTAATAGTTGAAAATGTCATCTGCAAGTCACTTAAGGAATTGGTATTTAAATAATAGTATTGCATGTTAAGATCTTTCATTCGTGCATTGGCTGTAAATATTACCAAAAAAGACGTATCAACTCATTGGATGTAATTGGTGGTCAGTGAAATTAACAGTAGTAACTCGAGTCTGCCCACGCAATGATGGGCCTCCCACTAAACATCATGGTCGTCGCTGTTTGGTACTTTAACATTATATAGTTTTTACTATTCAGTATATAGTTTTACTATTCATGTATGTAAAATGTATAAAGTGAATAAAAATAATTTTATTTGATTTTTTTCCAATAATTGTGGTTAATCCTTTTATGCATTATCGGTAGTATACTCTACAGAGTTTTGCAAAAAGTTAATAAAGTGAATTTAAAAATTTAATGTTCCACGAGACAAGATACAAGTCTACATTCTCTTCACTATACCTACTGATGTTATGATGGGTTCTAGCAAGTCGATGGTTTGCAAGAACAAGAGAAGGGCAAGCAGTCTTTGGGAACCACCAAGAAGGGCATTGGTCCTGCCTACTCGTCTAAAGCTACCAGAAATGGACTGAGGATAGCTGATCTGCTTGGGGACTTCAAAACCTTCTCTGAAAAGTTTGTTGACCTTTACTCTATTATGTTAAGAAGCCTTATAAAGGTAGAAAAAATGTATGTTCTTTTAATTATGACATAAGACAATTATTTGCCTCTAGGTTAATGGATGATAAACTGACAAAAAATGTTTTATAAATGTAAATTGACTAAAAGCCCTTTTTTATAGTTATAATTAAATTGACACTACTATAAAATCCACTGGTTTTATAGACACAACTTTGATTCACTGAAGAAAGTGTTCTCATGCTCCTTAATGCTATTGGAAACATAAACTTGTGTAGTGTTTTCAAGGTTCTAACTCTACTTCAAACCAATCATGCTTATCTAATCTGACATGTTAAATAATTTATAGAAAGTAGAGAATATGGCGTCATCCTTCTCCTGATAACAGTGTTTGGTCAAAAATTACCTATAAAAACTTTATCTTGATTGGATTACATGTTAAATAAGAAATTAAAATGTATGATTCTTTTGAATAATGTGGGACTTGAGTGGCCATCTTGTCAAATGTTGGTTCAAACCTAGAGGCTGAACTACAGGTCTGACAAAAATTAAAATTTGTTACCATACCTTTTAATTAATTTTTAGAAGATTATTGTAATTTCATCCTAATATTTCAAAAATCTATATCTATAAAAGAGGATGTATGTATGTATGTATGTATGTATATCCCTATGGACTCCGAAATCGCTTGGAAGATTGTAATGAAACTTGAAGGCATTATTGAGCACTATTACAAGGATGGTTTGTGGTTTATGTGAAGTTTGGTGCAGATCCATTAAAAGGGCTCCACCCCAGAGGGGTCGAATGTCAGACTTTTGGAACTAAAATTTTTACAAATAAATATAATTTAAAAGCAGATGTTTAATTTCACCAACTGTTTTGTAGGTTTTAATAATCACAACATTCTGTATTAGTCATGATTTGAAATAGTGCCACACTTTTTCCACAGAATGCAGCACAGAAAACTATTTTACTCTTAGATAAGTCCAAATATATTAAGAGGGTTCCCTACCCCCATTGAAAAACGTCAGAAAACCGCTTCGCGCGGTATCATATAGCGATTCTAGTTTTAACATTTAAATTGTGAACCAAACACCATTTTGTACATAAAGAGTGGTTCTACTAAGTTTGCTTTTTAAAAAATGTCTATGCTTACGCAATCAAGGGCAACGACTTGTTAAAGTTAGTGAACTTTAACTGTAAAGTTCACTAACTTTGACAAGTCGTTGCCCTTGATTGCGTAAGCATAGACATTTTTTAAAAAGCAAACTTAGTAGAACCACTCTTTATGTACAAAATGGTGTTTGGTTCACAATTTAAATGTCAAAACTAGAATCGCTATATGATACCGCGCGAAGCGGTTTTCTGACGTTTTTCAATGGGGGTAGGGAACCCTCTTAAGCCCCAATAACACCAATATACAAATATATTAAGCACACTTGTGCACTCAACAACGTTTAAATTCTCCACTATTAAATATGTCAACATTAAAAGTAAAAACCTTTATTAAAATATTATAAACAATAAAAGTTATGGCAATGCCTTGATATTTTTATCTTTTGTTCTATACCCACACAACCTAATCTATATATTAATAGGCAAGCATGTTTCTTTAAAACCATTTCTCAGCTCGTGTGCATCGCAGGGAAAATCTACGCATACTGTTGGAAAGATATTTTGCTGTAGATGTGCAGAATGCCTTTATAAATTAAAATAGGTTCAAAAATAAACACAGAAAATGAATTTAAAACTTTGAAAAAATTAACATGGATCTTATGGGTTGCCATGCTGGTGACGAAATACAAAAAGAAAATAAAAACAAATGGAAGAAACTCCAATCACATGTTTTATTCACAGTGTGGTGTGAACATAGAGAAGTCTGTACATTGCATATTTTGGTCGAGTTTCGACCACTGGACGACGTCTAGTATAAATTATTATGCGAATAATAATCGTGCGTGCTATCTCAGATATTCAAATGCCTCCCAATTTGTCATTGACCTACTACATTACTGTCATTAAAAGAAGGAACTCCAATAATACTAATGCGAAACTTAAATCCACCCAAGCTGTGCAGTAGAACCAGACGGACGATTTAAAAAAAATGACATCAAACTTGATCGAAGCAACAATCATCAGTGGTAAGTTTCAAAGGAGAAATAGCCTTTATCCCAAGAATACCGATGATTTCATCCGACTTACCCTTTGATTTAAAGCGACTACAATTTCCTTTGCGTCTTGCTTTCACAATCACCATTATAAGGCACTAAGGCAATCCCTGACTATCGCCGGTTTAAATTTAGAAAATGCATGCTTTTCACACGTTGTATGTTGCGTGCTCACGTGGTGTTAGGTACACCTAAAGACTCATGCATTTATACACCTAATGAAAAAAAACAAAAACATTGTTGATCCACTGGCAATTAAGTAAAATAAATATTCTATTTTTGTTTTTGGTATACATTTTTATTATTTATCGTAAAGGACAAATTACTATTTAAAATAATAGTTGTTAGCGCAGCAACGCACGCCGGGTAACTGCTAGTTTATGTTAAACTTATAAATTTGAAATATATACACTATTTTAGTTCATATGTCATTTTCTGAGGGTAACAACAATTAACTTCTTTCAATTAATTCCAAGTTATGTTGTTGTTTCCTATGACCGTTAGGTTTATAACTTTATTTTTGTAAATCACCTTGTGCAATTGATTAGGTCAGTCCTTGCTACCCTCACTAATCACTGTGCCAAAAGCGACAGTGGCGGCATAAGCAGTGACTTGGGAAACTATTGAGCTCATCGCCAGAGTTCCCTTGCTCGCAAACAGTCTTACATACTAAACGCAATACTTTGATGTGTACCAAATTTCTTACATTAAATAATAAATGTTCATGATTTTTGGAGAGTGATGTTAAAGGTTAAAGAAGAGAGTGATGTAGCTAAGTCTAATAGAACTACTGAACTGTAAGATAACTTAAATGTTGCAGGTACAAGAGCCTGGTAGAGTCGTATCAACGTATGTTCCCGTCGCTGGAGGTGGATGTGGAGGCAGAGCTGAAGCGCTACCAACAGTTTGCTGATGTGATACGACCACTGGTTGTGGAGACTGTCAGTTACCTCCACTCAGCTCTGCGGCAAGGCAAGAGTATCCTGGTGGAGGGAGCCAATGCTGCCATGTTAGACATTGACTTTGGTATCTACTTTCACTTTCATAGAACCTAAAAACTTTGAAAACAATCATGCAGAGCTTAAAAAACAAGTATTGTTGTATAATTAGGTTAGGGATGAAAAAAAACTGTACATTTCAAATTCTCGTGTTATTTTAATAGAGAAAAAGAAAACTGTTGTAGTTTGCTGTTTATGGATGTATACAGATCAAATTTCATCTATACTACTAACGTTTTATCAAAAAACCCTTTCTCCTTCCCTGTAGCTGCAAATCTTAGCACTTGTTAAATGTTAAATCCAATGCTCTTAAAATGGGGAATAATGTGACTTGTTTATAGAAATATTAAAGTTTGTTTAAGCCCAATCAGACTAATTGAAATTTACCTGGTCTGTAGGTTTGCTGCGGCGTGGGTATTTACTTATTGTGATGGGAAATGTCCACAGTATACAACATACTATTTTCAAAACTAAATCTTGATGTTCTAGTAAAACAATAAGTATACTTTTTCTGTTTTCCAGGAACTTACCCATATGTAACATCGTCCAACTGCAGTATAGGAGGAGTTTGCACTGGACTCGGCTTACCTCCCTCCACCATAGGAGAGGTAGTGGGAGTCGTCAAGGCATACACTACTAGGGTGGGAGACGGCCCCTTTCCTACTGAACTTAAAGATGTAAGTTTAACTCAAGTTACAATAGGCTGTGTGTTAAAAGTGTGTTGATTTTAGTTTAAAATGTGTTGAATTGTTATACTGCTAAAAAACAAACCTTTAAAATAAGCCGTAGACTTGTAAAAATCTGTTGTTACATAATTCATAAATGGCAGATTTCTTTCTTTGGTAGATTAATCAATGTGTGGTGTTGATCTCTAGGATGTGGGGGATCTGCTCCAGACCAGAGGAGGAGAGATTGGAGTGACGACCAAACGTAAGCGGAGATGCGGCTGGCTGGACGTCCCTCTGTTGCAGTACACATCCATGGTCAATGGTTATACCAAGTAAGCTACCTCACCTACTGTGCAATGTGTACCTACTCAAGATTGATAATTTAATACAGATGAAACAGAATTAATGAGATTTTTCTTTTAGAATCTGCCTGACAAAGCTAGATATTCTGGACACTCTTCCAGAGATAAAACTATGTGTCGCCTACAAGAAGAACGGACAACCAATTGACTACTTTCCTTCAAGTGCTGCTGAACTTGCATTAGTTGAGGTAAGTTAACAACCTTGAAAAAAAACAACAAGACAAAGAACTACGCATTAAATACCTTACATTTCTACAACATTTAATTCCAAACAAATTTCTTAACTTTGTTTTTAAAAGCTGAAAGAAGATTAGAGTTCAAATATCCGCCGCATGTCCAACAACAATAAAAGCTCTCTTACTCATTTTATTTCAAACCACTCCTTATGCACTGATTTTAATCAGTTTCTTGGCAGACTAATTTGCTTATTTCATCAGACCACAGCAGATGGAGCATGTGGCTAGTCAAGGTGTAGAGCTGTCTGGCAGCTCTGCCAGAGATCATGACTGATCGGAGTGGCTGGTTCACACTTTGGGTGGGGGTGGGGGGTTTACTCAAGATTTTACTACTTCTCATTTTGATTTAGAGTTTTATTTGTATATATAATTAATTTTAAGTATCAAAATTAAATTATACTTTGGGTCAACATCCATCATCTGTAACGCAAGATCTCTCTCATTTCCTCAGACAATTATGCTATAGACTATAGATAGCACAAAAAATCCAGTAAAAAGTACGTAGCATCAATATTTTTTGGGAATTTTCCAAACATTTCATTGAAAAGGGATAGTGCCTATTCAACTGCATTAGTCCCCCACCATAAAATCCCTAGTATACCTACATATTTCTATATTATAAGTATGTATGTTTCAGCACAGAAAACGTACTACTATAACCCAGAATGCCAACTGCATGGTAAAAAGCATTAAGCGTTTTGAGAGAGCTTTGCCTGTCAATCCGTAGGCAGCGCCACCAGCGTTGCTATGCTATTGCATGGCAACGCTGGTGGCGCTGCCTACGGATTGACAGGCAAAGCTCTCTCAAAACGCTTAATGCTTTTTACCATGCGGTTGGCATTCTGGGTTATAGTAGTAAGTTTTCTTTGGTTTCAGTTATAAGCGTTAACATATTTATTTAATAAAAATTGTGAGGAATTTATCATTTGGATAGGTTTCTCATAACTTGTTTGGATTCGATCAATTTAAGAGTTCTTGGAGCCTAGACGTTCTAACTCTTAAAGCAATTAAAGAACTACAAAGACAATTTCTTATCCCACAGTATAGTAGATATTTAAATTACCATCACTCTGGTGTTTGAAAAAATATTTTTGGACGGTAAATAACTCTTCAGAGGCTGTTTGAAATTAACTAAATTAACATTGCTCTTTTGGCGGGAAAGTTTAAGATGGCCGTTAGCTTTAATGGACTCCCTTGGAGACCAATTCAAAACTACAAAGAACATTTCTTATCTCACAGTATACTAGATATTTAAATTATAAATCACTTTGTTGTTTGGAAAAATATTTTTGGACGATAAATAACTCTTCAGCAGCTGTTTGAAATTATCCAAGATGGCTGCTAGCCTCCAAGGACCCTTAAGGCGGGCTAAGCTTTATCTAGAAGTATAATAACTTGCTGGGGTTTATTTCAATAACTGAAAGGGAAAAAAATTAGCCAGAAGACTTTAATTTTGTGTTTGCTTATTAACTGTTTAAATGATTGTATGTGTTTTTGTTTTCCTACACTTTTGGCATTTATATTAGGTATTGTATTTTTTTTACTTTGTACTGCCAGTTAGGACTTGTTGAGTTTTTTTATCTACTTAGTTTTATAATTTTAAAAATAATTTTAGCTGCTGTTTAAAGATTCCTTCAAAGAATAATTTTAATGAATCTATTTACTGTGTTACTGAGTGAGACCAGCTTCAATTCAAATAGCTTGGATTAAAATCTTGTTGGAGGAGTTGATTTTTAATTTTTATTGTTGAATGTTCATGTATTGTTTTTGTGTTATGTCAATGTTCTTGGTGTTCTTGGGATTTTGGAGTTGTTAATTGTTTTTTTATTTGTTGTCAGCCGCAATATGAAGTGATGCCTGGGTGGCAGTGTAACATTGAGGATGTGAGAGACTACAACTCTCTACCTGCCAATGCTAAGGCCTATGTGGAGAAGATTCAGGACCTAGTCCAAGTACCAGGTAAATATTTGTTAATAAAAACTGGAATGCATTAGTAAGTTATTTTGTTTAGTCATCAATTATTTTCAGGGCCCCCTACCTTCAACGTATGTTCCTGCCAGTCACCTCAAACTCAGGCCTTTTATTACACGAGTGAGAAATGCACAATTCCCCCGCACCATTACCTTTGATGACGAAGCTTCCAACATTTTTACTATGTCTCGTCTTTCTGCAGAATGGAAACATATGGCCATACATTAGTCATAGTCAGTCAAATTTCTTTATTTATCTTGTATTTACATACATAAATAGTGTCACAATTAGGTAACACTACTCTTATGGTAAATTACATCAAAGCTCTCTCAAGGCTATTTAAAAATTAGTTGAAATGATCCATTAATTTATTTACTAGATTTAACTTAGTACTGAAAAAAAACAATTCTTTTACATGCTAAGTTAAATTACATGAAGTATATACATTTAAATATATAACTCTGAGCATCTCAAAGAATCAACTAGAATCGAAAAATTATTCCTTTGAATAACAGCTTTTTTTTACAAATAATTTTTAACCAGATGCTTAAAGTTTTGGTTATGAATTTTGTTTTTTATATTTTCAGGTATTTGATTAAAAAATCATGAGCCAAAATGAATAGCTTTTTTATTATAAAAACTAAGCCTATGCTGGGTTAAGTTTAAATTGTTCTTATGTCTAGTATTATGAGAATGAATACTACTGTGCAGATATAATTCATTATATTTATTTCTAACACACATACATTCAAGGATATATTGGTCACTAGCTGTGTGCCCGTTCTACGCACGGGGATCTTATAGTAGTCAGTTGAAACTTTATTGTATAAAGAACAGCAGTTGGTTTGCATATTTTCAGACATGCTGGCAAAACTATTATATATAAACCAAATCTAATATTATGACATATAAAGAAAAAACAAAACTTATACAGTAAGACATCAGTTAAATTGAATACTACTGTAATAAAAGGTGCAACACTAACGATAACTAATTTGTAAATAGTGATGAGTTGGTACGTAAAAATTATTCCTGTTGATACCACCGGTTCTAAGGAAAATACCAGTACCAAAAACCAACGTTTACAGTTAAGAACTATAGTACATCCGACCAATTAAATGCGTTAATCCAGTTCCCAGGATATTGATCTCTCTTGGTTTTGGATTTTCTGACAAAAAGTTATTGAAAATCAAAGTTATTTCCCATTAATTGAATTATTTGTAAACAACTTTTAATTTAAACATTTTGGTGACAGTTTGAACAAAACAATCTCATCCAAACAGCTTTTTGTTATTTAAAAGATTGCGTATTCTCTAAACTATGTTTCGTATATAGTTTACATAAGAAGGAAATGTGAAAAAATCACACAATGTTGTGTTTTTTAACGTTTTTAGTTTGATTTCCCAAGTAGTGAGGCCATGTATTGTAGGGAAAAGTACCGAAGTCGGATAGGTTGTCATGCGACAAATAATTGGGTAGGCCTACGTACCCAAGATACAGTCTATGGGCTTATTGGCCGTATGGTCTAGCGATTGCAGCACATAGTGGTGAGTAGAAACCGAAAGTGACACATTGGAAAAGCGAGTTTAGCATCATCCATAAACCGGCAAACCTCTGTTACAATCACCCACTGCAGTTATGATTTTTCACTTTACACTTCACACAACCGCCATTGAAACTCCGTCAATGAGTGAAAACCTTGTTAGTAAGCTATTGGCGACAATTATTTTAAGTTCCCAGCCCTATACAACACAGATTCAAGGTCTTTTCCCGGTTATCAAAACTTCAGAACAATTTTATACACAAAGAATCTCTAATTTCATTTACGGTTACAATACACATTAGTGAACTTTCGATTAATTCAATCCTTTATGTAAGGAAACTCGTTTTTAATCTCACTTGGTTTGGGTGTTGCATTCAAAACGTTATTGGAAACGTTTGCGGTATTTGTAAACAACATTTAATGTAAACATATCAGTGACAGCTAGAAAAAATAATCTTGATCCGAACAGCTGTTCGTTATTTCATAGATGATTATGTGATGGACATTAGGAAAACACTTGACAAAAATCGCACGAAATCGGATTTTTAAACATCCGTAATTTTATTTAAAAAATTGCGAGGCCATATTTTAATGGCTAAAGACAATCTCGCCAATCCAGTGAATACATTAAAATGATTTGGATCTTGATAGGTACTCTCGTTTTTCAGGAGAAGGCCGCGTAAAATGCCTCTTGGGCCGTAACAGACGACCGACAGACAGAAATAGAGATGAGACTTGTTTCGGCTTCTTTAATGTATAAAACGAAAAAATAATCTAAAAATGTATAATTCTGAGCAATGTACAGACAAAACTCTAATTTTATTTATATAGATAAACGGTCAAAATATTAAACTCAGAAAATTTATTTTTCACTGATAATATAATCTCCTAGTTCTTCCTAGGTCTTCTAGATTTAATATAATTCTCAAAGCTTCCTTCTGAAATATTAAGATTGTATATAAGTTGCCTTTACTTGTACCACCATAAAACAACTACACCATAAGATACGTGAGAGTGCATATGTGCGAAATAAATAGTTTTTTAAAGTGTCAAGACTAAATAACAAAGACATTATTCTAAGAACATATGTACACCCGATGCAATTTTGTTAGCCAATTTTAGTGTATGATGGTCCCAACTAAGATTATTGTCAACTTCAACTTCTAAAAATCTGGTAATTTTAATCTATTCTATTTCACTTCCCCCCACTAAAAAACCTATTTCTTGAGCATTTTTATTTTGTTTTGTAGACAAAAATCATTTGATTAGCTTTATTACCATTTAGAAATAAATTGTTTTGTATAAACAAATTTTCAATTATTTTTAATTGCTCTTGACACGTTTTTTCAAGGTCAAGGTAAGATTTAGCAGTAGTTATCAAGTTTACATCATCAGCATAAAGTACTAACTGACTTTCTGTTCCTAAAGTATTTTTTAAATTGAAGGCATTCCTTGGACATAACACAGAAATAATAAAGGCCCCAGAATGGAGCCTTGAGGAACTCCATGTTTAATAGTTAAAGTTTCTGATCTATCTATACCTGGTTAGTGTATTTTGGTTTTTTGTAATGATGGGCGGATCCAAGAAAATGTCAGTACCGGATCCGGATCTTGAAAAATTTGGATCTGGATCCAGATACACACTGTCATAAGGGCGGGTAAAAAAAAAACTTAATTAACACACAGAATGCCAATTAAAATCATACTGTTTACAATTAAATTGGTAATGTTTAAAGGTTAATATATCTTCAGAGAGTAATCTCCAGTTGAGCCCATAATCCCTCATTTTTTTGGGACACTAAAACTTTTCAAAATCATAAAATGAAACTTTGTGCTAAGTTTGCACGACCACCAAAAAGGTATCTGTGTATATTTTACTATAGTTCGATCTTGAGTATGCTATATCGTGGTTTTTGCATGAAGCATCCGATTTATTTATGCCTGGATCACCTCTTGTTATTGTCTTCCTTAAATTCGTTCCAGGTCCACAGTACTGATAGCCGGGTATGTGAAGTTCTTCAGGTAAAATACCCTGTGTCTGTGTACAATAAGACTATACTGTGTTCTAACTTAGAAAAATATTAGACGGGGGAGTCTTGACTTTTTATTCACCCTTATGTACACAGATAATCTTCTTGTACACAGACATAAGGTATTTTACCTGTAGAATTTCACATACCGGGTTATCAGTACTGTGGGCCTGGAACGAATTTAAGGAAGAGATAACGAAGGGGTAATCCAGGCATAAATAAATTGGATGCTGCACACAAAAACCACGATATAACATAAAATACTCAAGATCGAAGGATAGTAAAATTAGATCAGTTGCTGATAGCTTATTAGCTTGGGAAAGGGTAAAAGCTTCAGACTAATGAACTGACTAATGTATTGGTGAGAGAGCTGCCGCCTGGGCAGTTACTAACTATAGAATAATTAATTATTAAAACTCATTTTAAGTAAACTCAATCAAAACTATTTATTTACAAAATCAATAATAATGTAAACAAACCAAATAGTAGATGATTCATAACTCAGCTGATAACAATAATCCTACATTTCTCCCCACCCAATTTAGGCTGAGTTTCCGAAACTATTTACATCTTCATTTCCAGGTTCCATTTGCATTTTCCATTGAGGTGGATCAGTTGCACCTTCTCTTGCTCTCAGCTGGTCAGCGTGTTTTCTCTTTATTTCTCCCCCAGCTAAAACTGTGTATGATAGCTCTCCCGTCCTTTCTTGTACAGTTCCTGCTTTCCAGCCCTTCTTGGTTTCATTTTGAACCCACACTTCTTGTTTGGCAGAACACTCCTTTTGTTTGGATTTTAAGTCGTGGTAGTACTTCTGTCGCCACACTTGATTTTCTATTCTCTCTCTGCTATTACACCTCCACCTATCCAAAGCTGTTGGTATTCTTCTTCCATAGAAAAGGACTGATGGTGGTTGTCCTGTGGTCTTTTGTGGAGTGTTTTGATAAGCAAGCAACACTTGTAAAAGTGCAAGTGATGAACTGAGACCTTCTTGTTTGCAAGCACTGTATCGACTCTTGAAGGTTCTGATAATCCTCTCTACTAAACCATTGGTTTTAGCGAATTTCCCTATAGGGAAGTAGCTATTACCGTAGGTCTCATGGTAAGACTTAGGCCCGGGACCGATTTACTTTTTCATTTTAATGTCCCCAGAGGCCAAAAACACCATTCGTTCAAATTTTTATATATGTATATATATATATATATATATATAGGTATATATATATATATATAGATTTATATATATATATATGTGTCCGTGAACACGATAACTTGAGTAATTTTTATCAGATTTTGATGAAATTTGGTTTGAAGGTGTAAGGCGGGATAAACTTGAATGAGTTCGCGATCCAGCATGATCGGTCCATGGGAACAGGGTTTTATGGGGGGTTTTATGGGGTAAAAATTGGTTTTTCTCA